TTGCCAGTGTTTGTGTCTAAGGAAGGAGTTGTCGCCAAGACGGGAGAATGACAATATTGGAGCCCAATTCAATTTCTTTCTTTATTATGCACCCCATACCCATCCCGTGGGCGGTGGTGTAGAGGATTACAGAGGCACATAATCGGTTCAGGAACTGAACTCTCTAGTTCATTTAGCTAAGCAAATAACAACCTTTTGACGCTAGTTACAAAATAATTAATAGTGGAGCCCGATCTTCTGATTTGCCACTCCGTTCCAAATACATCCTACCAACTTAACCAGAAATACAAACCCAAGCAACCCCCCTAACTCTATCGAGTCCAATGTATAGAAAACGGGGGTATTTGTGAGCCGCTACATTTGGTTCGTTGGTTAGTTACCATAACGTACGAAAAGCGACCTACTAGTTGAAAGGCCGGGTTGCTTGTATGAGCTCAATGAGGCACATCCAGGAGGTTGTCCTGTGCCTCTTCACTAACAACAGATGCTGTATGCATCGTGATTTAAATTCCATTTCCTTTAAAATGATAATTATATCTCTTCATAGTTAATTTTTTCAGTCATAATTCCCTACAAATGTTGAGAATTTATGCTACCACAACGGATGATGTCATCCGAGGGCCAATTTGACATGATCCAGCCTGAATAATATATAAAGGAGATTTGACTGTTAACTGAGGGAGTATAGGGAGTCCAGTTTACTACCTAGGGGCCCTGACGGCTGAGTCGATAGCGATCGAGATTCGTAGTCCTGAGGTTCTGGGTTCAATCCCCGGCGGAGGCGGAAACAAATGGGCAGAGTTTCTTTCACCCTGATGCCCCCTGTTCACCTAGCAGTAAATGGGTACCTGGGAGTTAGACAGCTGCTTCGGGCTGCTACCTGGAGGTGTGTAACAAAAAAAGAGGCCTGGTCGAGAACCGGGCTGTCGGAAAATCCGACACCATTTAACAATAATATCATACAGACAGATAAGAGCTGTGTTGTATAAACAAGTTACCCATAGAAAACGTAACTTGTAGTGGAATTACCGTCTAAAGAAAACGGGATATCATCACCACATACCATTATAAATTCACCAGCTATTTTGCTGGGAATTATTCTTAAATACATTAGTCTTTGGACTTTACCATCATAAAACATCTTATATAAATTAACTTAATTATCAATATTAAAGTAGAGTAAATGTGACCCTTGTATCACTTTCTGACATGTGGACAATGTAAGCCAGGCGTCAGTGGGGAAGGAGGGCAGCCATTGTTTATATTGAGACCAGAGGCTCACACGGGAGCAAATTCGGCTCCTGTTAAATTTACTTGGACGAAGTGTTATGGAAACCAGTGGTGTACCATTATCACACGCTGTCAACAAATTCAAGTTAAGTGTTCTTTCCGAAACCCATTATCTATCATTAGTGGCCATTAATGTCATTGGGTAGGGTTAGCCGGTTAGAACGCGAAATCGCCTCAAACTAAAGGTAATTAAGCCAGGTCTTCATGTTCCATATAGTGTTTTCTCTGATATAGCTTGTCATATATAGAACCTGGCTTCACAGCTAGCGCCCTTTTGACAGGTCAAGACGAGGAAGCAAGATTTGTGCACCAGTTACTGGGTGATGGAAGCTACCTCAAAGAGGATAATTTGGTGTCTACACCCTAGTTATACCTGGTGGACTAACCTGCTGTACTATAAGATAAGGAACCTCTTCAATGTATGTAGTTAATTCTGTAGTTTGATTGGCTGCATACATATAAATGATAACCCCCCGAATGTGTAGAGGATCGATTTGTGAGATTAAGAGATTATTGCAGAAATACAGTCCACTTATCATTATACAAATTGCTATCGAAGTATATAAATTAACGTAAATATAAATTCATATAAATTAAATAAATATAAATCTCACAGGTCGGTTCCCACACGGGCCGCGGGGACGCTAAGCCCCGAAATCATCTCAAGATAGATCTCAAAGGTTCAAAGATACATTAAATTCTGGTTTAGACACCTTATATATATGTGTAGCCATAGTTTCCTAAGTGTTTAACTGAGATCAAAGAGCAACATGTTTTGGTATGTTGACATATGTGCTGCCAACATATCCAAACACACTAGCACACCCGTTACCAAGACAACCAAACACACATATGGAGTCGAATGTAATCTTGGAGCGATCCAAGATTAACATGGATTTAGAGCGGGAAGATCCTGCCTTTAGCAATTACTTAACCGCTATGATAAAATCATGGGAAGCACTAGGAGGAAAAACATAATACACAGACTTAACAAAGTCACCTGATAAATGTGACCATGAGGTGATAACCCATAAAATGGCAGCAATAAGAATTACAGTTAAAAATGAAGCGATTGATATTAAATTTAATATGAATGCAATCAGTAACAGTCAATCAAATCAAGTCCAAGCACAGTGAAAAGCTCTGTACCTCAAGGCACAATCCTTGCACCACTGCTTTTTTCTCGTTCTCATATCAGATATAGACAAAAATACAAGTCTTTGCATCAAAATATATGCAATAAATATAAAAATATAAATATATAAAATATATAAAAATATAAATATATAAAAATAAATATATACAATATTTAAAAATATAAATATATAAAATATAAATATATAAAATATATAAAAATATAAATATATGAAATATACAAAAATATAAATATATATAAAAATATAAATATATATAATATATAAAAATATATAAAAATATATATAATATATAAAAATATATATATATAAAATATATAAAAATACAATATATAAAAATACACAGCTTTGCATCACCTTTTGTAGATGATACATAAATCAAAAGCAGGAACATTACTTCTGCAGAAGGCATTGAGAAACTACAAGACGATATCAATAAAGTCTTCAGTTGGGCAACGGAAAATAACATGATGTTAAACAGGGATAAACTCTAAATACTTAAGTATGGTAACATTTAAGAAATTAACCGGAATAAGACATCATCAGATCTCTTCATACAAGGAAAAGAACACATCAATGATCTGGGAATAATGCTTGTCAGATGACCAAATGTACAGTGAACATAACAAAGCAAGGATAGCATCAACTAGGAAAATGAGAGGATAGCAGCCAGGAAAATGAGAGGATGGATTATGAGAACCTTCAAATCCAGGGATTCCACCACTATGCTTCAACTTCTCAAATCCCAAGTGCCTTTATGCCCTGAGTTCTGCCTGATATTTTTGCTTTCAGAGCAGGAGAGATTTCTGAGATAAAGGGGAATACAGAGAGGATAAACAGGACGCAGATACAGGGTAAAGTACCTGTATTATTGGGAGCGCCTCAAAACTCCCAAAAAAGACTCTAGAACAGTAACGAAAGAGGTATCAAATACTATATACACACGGGAGATACTGTAAGGTCAAATTCCAAATGTTCACAGTAAAATTACGACATTTTCTAGCGAGCGATATGGTACGAAATGCAGAATAGACGTAGTAAAGAGTAGAGATGCCATAGACACAATCAGAGAGCACTATGAATATCAGAGATCCACGGATATTCAGGATCCTCCCAGCATACATAAGAAATATTTCCGATACGAAGGTGGACGTCTTCAAGAAAAGAATTAGACACATTCCTGCAAGAAGTGCAGGAACGACCGGATTAAAGGAATAGGTGTGCCTGCTGACCGCTTCAAGGAACAGCCTGTTGGACCAAGTTATCACATGTTACGCCTGGCCTCAGGATGGGCATAGGGAGTAGAAGAACTCCCAAAATCCACTCCACTAATGCTTTAAGTAAACACATAACATACGTGATGCCAACATGTCCACCGCAACTTTCCATGACCAACGAAGCAAGAACTGCTTGAACAGAGGCATATGGGGGCCGATACCAACTACCCTATGACCCTCCCATACCCACCACGTATCACCTGCAAAGCTTGCGCGAGGCTAGAGCCCCCCAAGCGTCTGTGCCACAACCCTGGCCAGATAAACAAACCGACAGGGAAGACAAACATTTCAATTTGCTAATGTAGATTCTACTCAATCGGCAATATGTATCTCCTAGGAGAATGTGAGAAACGAGTGACTACAACGATACATCACGTCGATGGAATTAATATGTATTACTCTAAGTGGACGTCCCGGGCTTAAACATTGACTTTCTCAACCACTATTTCACTACACGACATGACAATGGTCCAGGGCGGACTGTAACGTAGTCATTTTCATTCTTTTCCGATGTGTGGGATGGGTGTCAGGTGTGTGGGTTGGGTGTCTAGCAACCCGTTCTCGCACTTGCTTATAGTCAATATTTGGCTTGTTGATAAGTGCATATGTGACATACTAATTTATTGTAAATATTTGAGTTTACCTTGAAAAGCTGAATAGAAAACACCGACATAACCTAACCTTCTTAGTATATTAAAATAGCATCTTATTTCTTCTTAATTACAAGTAGTACTTAACCTATACCTATATTGATATAACAGTTTTATAAGAATAATAAAACAAAACTACGATATTTACATAAATTGTAAAATAACTCAGGATATTGTCAAATTTTGTATAAAAGCTCTATTGTTTAATAAAACTGAAAAAGAAATTCCTAATATTAAAACTGGTGGACTGCACATCCATAGGACGAGATTGTACTTTGAGAACAAAATATGACTTGGAATATACCCCATAATTACTTATTAATATGCCAAATATTGATTATAAGCAAAGCAATAAGTCATATATGTACTGTCTTGTGCGAGAGCGGGTCGCCTAGTGACGATCAACAGAAATGTGCTGAATGGAGAATTCACGCTCGCTCGCCCGCCCGCTCCCCTTAGACAGTTAGGCTAATGAAGATTGGAATGACTTATTCATACGCAGGAATAACTTACACATTCTCAAGATTGACTTACATGCTTAAGAATAACTTACATATGCTCAGGAATGCACAAAATAAGGATGAAGCGACCAATTTAATTGAACTATCCTTGTATAAAGAAAATTCAAACAAAGTTGTTTAATATAATTACAGAAGTAGAATACAAATTGGCTGAATAAAAGATCAAGCCTTTTTCTTTTGTCAAATAATTACAGACTACAAAATCTTACACAAAAGCCCAGGAGGTGAGCTGGTCGCATTCTGGGTGACTCTTGCCAGTAGTCATCAAGTATACACTTACGAAACATATACATCTTTCCTCAATCACAGTATAGTGCAGGCTACAGTGAATGGCACATTAACTGGCATGGTACAGCAAACGGTACACCAGATTGTATGGTACAAGAACAGTGTATGGTAGACCATATTGTATGGTGCATGGTACAGTGATCGATGTACCATATTGCATGGTACAGTAAATGGTACACCAATCGCATGATACATAGTAAAGTAAATGTTATTTGGTGGTACAGCGCCTGGGAGGATGAATGGTACCTTTTTTTTTTTTTGGTACCTTTGGTACAACTGGAAGGGCTATTGTTTTAAATCAACAGGCTGTACGTTTTCATGCGTATGTAAACACAATTCTTTTTTGGAGCACTGAAGAAGAAAAAAAAGTTTAAACACCCCCAGCTGTGGCTTGAGTTTTCCAACCCTTGCGAAACAGCTACATCTTTTCTCAATTATGGAGATTTAGTTTATATTTATTAAATAGTTTAGGAACTCCGAAACTCTACGAGGTTGTTTTAATAACCTTGGGTTGTGAACGAGTTTGTAACACGTTGCCAAGCTGTTGAATACATACAGACTAAAGCGCCAGATCGAAGAAAGATATAAAGGTTTCGTACTGAACACATAAACAATAGATGAATCCTCTCCTTGGACCATGACTCAATTGGACAGCAAAATTGGTGATGATTCGTAATCAATTAACTAATAAATTTAAGTTACACGAATACCGAGAATATTTTTAATTACTAAGAGATTGACAGACTTGATGGAGAGTTAAAAACAATTGTAATTTAAGGTTTATAAGACATATCAAGTAAAAAAAATTTTTAGCTTAATGCTAAGTTTGACAGAGGTCCGTCACCCGTCTGGTGAGACAGCGAAAGTATGAACATAGAGACGTAAAGAACATAAACATTCATAAACATAGAGAACATAAACATAGAGAACATAAAGAACATAAACATTCATAAACATAGAGAACATAAACATTCTTTGCAACTGATAAATCTGTTATATTTTTCACTGTAGTTGTAGGCCATAGCTTACAGTATTTAACCTTACATAGGAACACAGGAATAAATGAAATTACACAAGTTGTATTGGCCTATGCGATACAGCACATACAGCTTCTAAAGTAAGGCAATCTTTTGTAGCATATCGTGGCTTAGTGGTTTAAGGAGTGTGCTTGGGAGTACCCAGTGTGCAGGTTCGAATCCTCTTTATGGCTCCAACTGATTTTCTCAATAATAATAATGTTAAAATAATATTAAAATAAACAATAACAATCAATTACAAATAGTAAAAATAATACCAATAATAATACCAATGTCAAAAAACAATATTGCCAAATTTTTAATAAATAATTCCTTTCAATATAATTAACTTTACTGCATCACTGTACAACAAAATCTTGCAATAACATAACATCAAAATTAATAATATATTAAATCAGGAACTTTGTACTCCAATTTCTGTAACAATTATGAATACATTTCTGCAGCTAGCTTGCTTCTCTAGCGGTGCCCAGCAGCAGAGTTCTGACATACCCACTGCTGAGTCAATCTGGGTACTCAGCAGTGCCCTGTAGTACCCACTGTTGGTCACCAACGCCCCAGTAGTCGCCAAACGAAAAATATTTTTCGCCAGCAAAAATATTGCTGTGACAAAGGTGGATATATTCAAGAGGCATTTAGACAAGTTCTTGCAAGAAGTGCCGGATCAACCAGCCTGTAGAGGATATGTGGGCCTGCGGGCCGCTCCGAGCAACAGCCTGTAGGACCAACTTATCACAATTCGAGCCTGGCCTCAGGCCGGGCTCGGGGAGTAGAAGAACTCCAGAAACACTCTTCAGGTATGTTCCAGGTAGTGTTCAATCTGTGATCAGCTTTATTTGTCTAGTGAATCCATCAACAGAAAGATGAAGATTATAGCGAGCAGACCCACCCCACCAACAGAAGGTAACGGGGGGCGCTAGCAGGCCCACCCCACCAACAGAAGGTAACGGGGGGCGCTAGCAGGCCCACCCCACCAACAGAAGGTAACGGGGGGCGCTAGCAGGCCCACCCCACCAACAGAAGGTAACGGGGCGGGCGCTAGCTGACCCACCCCAGCAACAGAAGGTAACGGGGGGCGCTAGCTGACCCACACCACCAACAGAAGGTAACGGGGCGGGCGCTAGCTGACCCACACCACCAACAGAAGGTAACGGGGAGCGCGCTAGCTGACCCACCCCCACCAACAGAAGATAACGGGGCGGGCGCTAGCTGACCCACCCCCACCAACAGAAGATAACGGGGCGGGCGCTAGCTGACCCACCCCCACCAACAGAAGGTAACGGGGCGGGCGCTAGCTGACCCACCCCCACCAACAGAAGATAACGGGGCGGGCGCTAGCTGACCCACCCCCACCAACAGAAGGTAACGGGGCGGGCGCTAGCTGACCCACCCCCACCAACAGAAGGTAACGGGGAGCGCGCTAGCTGACCCACCCCCACCAACAGAAGATAACGGGGCGGGCGCTAGCTGACCCACCCGACCAACAGAAGGTAACGGGGCCCCTAGTCCCGGCAACAGAACATGACAATATCATTGGTCCCTGTGTCATCGCCCACTGAGAAGTCCTCGTAGCGTGTCTGCAATAAACAGCACCTCGTTAGCAACGGCAGAGTAGCACCCTGTCACTCATATGTCATCCATCAGGTGAATATAACCGACACACACGTGATCATTAGGTGAGTAACCTGCACCTGTTCATTAGGTGAGTCACGTACACCTGTACACGTGTACACTCACCTGTAGTCCGCAGATGTGTGTACCTTTGTCACAGCTATCCCAGCTGCTCACTTCTTCTTCTTCTTCAAACACCTGTTGGTTGCATAGACAAGGTTAGTATGTATAATTAATAGTAAAGATTAATAATTTTAACACGAATTTTCTCAATATTTCTTATGGTTCTTTTCACTGTCGACAGTGAAAAGAAACATAAGAAATATTGAGAAAATTCGTGTTAGAATTATTAATCTTACTTTTTCGGTCATATTTAATAATATATGTCTATAGGAAAGACTGCTACCAAAATATATATATATATATATATATATATATATATATATATATATATATATATATATATATATATATATATATATATATATATATATATATATATATATATATATATATTATATATTATATATATATATATATCCTCTCAGCAGGGGATACACTGGAGTAAGACCTCAGCACCTCAAGGAGATGACAAACCCGGTTCTCGGCGAAGTTGCAGAGACACTACTGTCAGAGGTCACGAAGTTTGTCAACGACTGTCTCTCTGGACCGATCCCAGATACAATTAAACCCTTCTTCTTCGGAGCATTCCTTTGTGCCTTTAAGAAGAAGGATGGTGGAGTCAGACCCATTGCCGTGGGTCACACACTTCGGCGCCTTGTTGCTAGGGCAGCTGTCAGAAAAATTAGCATAGACGCTGCAACGATGCTTCGACCCCATCAACTAGGTTTTGGTGTCCCTCATGGCTGTGAAGCAGCAGCTCATGCAGCACGAGCCTGTATTAAGCACCTCCCAGAAAATAAGGCATTAATTAAGTTAGACTTTAAAAATGCCTTCAACCAGGTAAAAAGGGATGTGGTACTGGAAGCAGTTCGAACCAGCTTTCCTTGTCTACTCCCCTTCGTTTCAGCAGAGTACAGTAGGGAATCGACACTGTTGTTTGGGGAACATGAAGTTGTTTCCGCAGAAGGTGTCCACCAGGGAGACCCACTTGCCCCTTTCCTTTTCTGCATGGCAGCTAAAGAGGTCACAAGCAGGTTGTCCAGCGAATTCAACATTTGGCTCCTGGACGATGGCACCCTGGCAGGGACACAGGAGTCCCTGCTAGGAGATCTTCAGCTAGTGAAATCGAAGGGAGAGGGGCTAGGCCTTACACTAAACCCATCAAAGTGTGAAATCATCTCACCCAGCCAACCCATCATAGATGTAGTACGAATCTTATTGCCAGGAGCCCCAGTGATCGCTCCCACCGACAGTGTGCTGCTAGGGGCACCTCTGGGCTCGAGCGCCATTTAGAAAGTCCTCGAAGAAAAGCTTAACGACCTGATGAGGATGGAAGAAAGAATAGGGGGTTTGGATGCCCACGATGCTTTGTACCTTCTTACAAGGTGCCTGGCCTTGCCCAGACTTACCTATTTCCTCAGGTGTGCTCCTTCCTTCGACAGCCCAAAATTAACGGAATACGACTCACTCCTAAAGTCAATAACTATGAAAGTGTTAAACCTCTCCCTGCAAGATGACCAGTGGGACCAAGCAACGCTCCCAGTTAGACTCGGGGGTATAGGTATTCGCAAGGCGACACAGTTAGCATTGCCGGCATTTTTATCCTCGATCAGTGCTACAAGTGAATTAGAGTATGAAATACTACCAGAATACCTAAGGAACTCCATTGGGATTCGTGATCCCAAATTTGTGGAAGGAGCTGGTCAGTGGGACACTCTTGCCAATTCACACCCTCGACCAACTTTTCCAAACGACAGCAAACAGGCCAAATGGGATAGCCCCATAGTGGAGAACATCGCCAAAGCATTGCTGGAGGCAGCTTCTGGGAAGAACAGAGCGCGTCTCCTAGCAGTGTCACGGGCTTGTCTCATGTGATTCCTAGGGGCACCGGATTGAAGATGACAGGTCAAACGCCTCGTCAGTTTTGTCGACGTCATACCTATGTACTTAGATTGAAGGTTACATCCTTCATAGGGACAGGTGTACATGTATACAGCGCTTGACTGCTGTAAAGGGTTCTCCGTCGGCTTCACTCTGTTCTTAATAAGGAGGTCAGTAGTCTTCTTTGTTTTGTAGAATATGATCAGGTAGAATATGTAGAATATTTTGTAGATTATGAATATACCCAGATGATCCACAGAGACATTAGAAAAAAAAATCAGTGTCATGGTAGTTAATAAATGGAATGCATTAGGAAGTGACGTGGTGGATGCTGACTCCATTCACAGTTTCAAATATAAGTATGATAGAGCCCAGTAGGCTCAGGAATCTGCACACCTGTTGATTGACGGTTGAGAGGCGGGACCAGAGAGACCAAGCTCAACTCCCGCAAGCACAACTACGTGAGTACACACACACGCACACACACACACACACACACACACACACACACACACACACACACACACACACACACACACACACACACACACACACACACACACACACACACACACACACACACACACACACACACATCGGTGCTGGGACTAATTATATTTCTTGTATATGTTAACGACATGTTTACAGGCGTAGAGTCCTACATGTCGATGTTTGCGGATGACGCAAAGTTGATGAGAAGAGTTGTGACAGATGAGGATTGCAGGATCCTCCAAGAGGACCTGAACAGGTTGCAGAGATGGTCAGAGAAATGGCTATTGAAATTCAACACGAGCAAATGTAAAGTTATGGTAATGGGACTAGGAGATAGGAGACCAAAGGGACAGTACACAATGAAGGGGAACAGCCTACCTGTGACGACGCACGAAAGAGACCTGGGTGTGGACGTAACACCTAATCTATCTCCTGAGGCACATATAAATAGGATAACGACAGCAGCGTACTCTACACTGGCAAAAGTTAGAACATCATTCAGAAACCTAAGTAAGGAGGCATTTAGGGCGCTTTACACTGTCTACGTGAGGCCAGTCTTAGAGTATGCCGCCTCATCATGGAGTCCCCATCTGAAGAAGCATATAATGAAACTGGAAAAGGTTCAGAGGTTTGCAACGAGACTCGTCCCAGAGCTACGAGGGATGGGGTATGAGGAGCGCCTGAGAGAACTGTGCCTTACGACACTAGAAAGAAGAAGGGAAAGGGGGGACATGATAGGAACGTATAAAATACTCAGAGGGATTGACAGAGTGGACATAGACGAAATGTTCACACGGAATAGCAACAGAACGAGGGGACATGGATGGAAGCTTGAAACTCAGATGAGTCACAGAGATGTTAGGAAGTTTTCTTTTAGCGTGAGAGTAGTGGGAAAATGGAATGCACTTGGGGAACAGGTTGTGGAAGCAAATACTATTCATAATTTTAAAACCAGGTATGATAGGGAAATGGGACAGGAGTCATTGCTGTAAACAACCGATGCTCGAAAAGCGGGATCCAAGAGTCAATGCTCGATCCTGCAGACACAACTAGGTGAGTACAACTAGGTGAGTACACACACATCACACATGATATCACGCCAGACCTGTCCCCTGAAGCTCATATTGTAACAAACTAGGCTGTTGTAAGAATTATTCCAGAAGGTTCCAGAAGTTTCGTGTAGGGACCTGACCTCTCAACAACACACATTCCCCTGGGGATTAGCAGGTCTGAGTCACAAATGGCGGGCGTCTCTGTTCATAGTTGCGTATAATGAATCATTTGTATTAAAATTGAATTGTATAATATTACTGGGTACAATATCAAGAGTATTGTAATTATTGAGTTAAGTCACCATCAGTGACGTCACGAATCATATCTAAGTTGTAAGGCGCGAGTGACCGGCGGTCATAGGTCATCAGGGTTGACGATGTCCACTATTTCTCAAAGTTCAAAGAACTATTTTTGTGATCGGGAACAGCTCTGCCGTTAGATGCTTGTGTAATTTAACTTCAGTAAAATATTTCAACCAGTCTGGATCAATTAAGTACAACAGAGGTAGTAGATAAAGTAGATAAAGACAGGTTATTTAATACAAGGTGCTCACGCACTAGGGGACACAGGTTGAAACTGAGTGCCCAAATGAGCCACAGAGATATTAGAAAGAACTTTTTTAGTGTCAGAGTGGTTGACAAATGGAATGCATTAGGAAGTGATGTGGTGGAGGCTGACTCCACACACAGTTTCAAATGTAGATATGACAGAGCCCAATAGGTTCCAGAATCTGTACACCAGTTGATTGACAGTCAAGAGGCGGGACCAAAGAGCCAAAGCAAGCACAACTAGATGAGTACAGCAAGATGAGTGCTCACTCACTACTGCCTCACAAACTCCTCCGTCCACTATGCTGGCACAACTTACGTAAGAAGTATTCCAGCCAATTAGGTACTCTCCGTCTTCACACATCATGTCCACGTTATAGACGGCAACGTCGTCGTGCAGGACACCTTGTGGCTCCATCACATCCGCCCTCAGCCCCGTCAGGAAGCCCTCGTGGCACACTCTCATACCTGCAGTGGTCAGAAACCAGGCTAAAATTGTGTCAGTGGCTGTGAAGCTGTGTCAGGCGTGTGGTCTGTGGCTGACGCTGTGTCATAGGCGTGGTCTATGGCTGAAGCTGTGACAGAGGAGCGATTTGTGGGTGAAAGTGTGTCATAATCTGTGATAAAAGAGGTGTTGACCAGACCACACACTAGAAGGTGAAGGGACGACGACGTTTCGGTCCGTCCTGGACCATTCTCAAGTCGATTGTGAGAATGGTCTTCTCACAATCGACTTGAGAATGGTCCAGGACGGACCGAAACGTCGTCGTCCCTTCACCTTCTAGTGTGTGGTCTGGTCATCATACGTTAGCCACGTTATTGTGACTCATCGCCTGCAGACTTATGAAACTAACTTATAACTAGTTTTCCCTTAAGGACATAAGAACATAAAGGAATGAAGGTAACCGCAGAAGGCCCATACGAGGCAGATCATATTTACATCCACTCATGGCTCTCCGGCTCTCACCTAACCAGTCACCGTTGGGGCCTACGACAGAAGTGACGTAGCCGGTGTCGTAGAGGTCTTTGTTTCGGCAGTAGAGCTTCACACCGTTGACAGCTGTGTTGTCGACTCCGCCTGGCGGGTCGAACTGAACGAGCAATAAATTGTCTTTTGAAACAACAGACTCAATGGCTTTCTCCCCCCCCAAAAAATTATTCCAGACATTAAATACAAACAGGGTAGTTGATAAGAAAATTCATTTAAAAATGCAGTATATACACAAATGGAACACGCTATGAGGAAAGGCTTTTTTGTCCTTATGTATAAGTAATACATATGTGTGAGTTTGAAGTTATGATCAATTTCGAGTATAAGATATGATTCGTTTAGATGAATTGAGAGTTTCCTTAGAAACTGTGAACCTGAAAGACACATAAAGGAGAAAAAAAATAGTTTATAAAAGTCAATATCAACTCACTTTGATTTCAAAAGCGTGAGCAAAGCTTCCTTTCTCACAGAAGTCCATCGCTCCCCACAGACCCCAACTCAGGCCATTATCGAGTCTCAGAACCTGAGTTACGTTGCGGTACTCGGACGTGATCTCTGTGGAAGCCAGGAAGAGTGCAGCCGATCATAGAAAAATGTTTCCCATAGAACCCAAAATCATCTTCAACTGATCCTAAATCGCTCTTAAGCCAAGTACACAAAAAATATTCGTCTGACGAATATTATTTATCGATAACGTTGTTACGATAATGTTATTATCGTAACAACGATAATGTTATTATCGTAACTACTAGGTCGTTCAAGGTCATTATGGCGTTGCTTAAAAAATTCTCTTGGGTTTTATTATATTACAATGCACAAAGAAATAAAAAAAAAACGTGAAATATCTATTAGAAAATATTGTAGCCATACAACGAGCTTATACAGTCTCTGGTATACCTACAAGCATTCAACTCGGCCTCTGTTATACCTACAGGTATTCAGCTTGGTCTCTGGTATACCTAAACGTGTTCAGCGTGCCTATGGTAATCCTACAAGTATTCAGTTTGGCCTTAGGTATACCTACAGGTATTCTGGTATACCTACAAGTATTCTGGGATACCTACAAGTGTTCAGCTTGGCCTCTGGTATACCTACAAGTATTCTGGTATACCTACAAGTGTTCAGCTTGGTCTCTGGTATACCTAAACGTGTTCAGCGTGCCTATGGTAATGCTACAAGTATTCAGTTTGGCCTTAGGTATACCTACAGGTATTCTGGTATACCTACAAGTATTCTGGGATACCTACAAGTGTTCAGCTTGGCCTCTGGTATACCTACAACTATTCTGGTATACCTACAAGTGTTCAGCTTGGTCTCTGGTATACCTAAACGTGTTCAGCGTGCCTATGGTAATCCTACAAGTATTCAGTTTGGCCTTAGGTATACCTACAGGTATTCTGGTATACCTACAAGTATTCTGGGATACCTACAAGTGTTCAGCTTGGCCTCTGGTATACCTACAAGTATTCTGGTATATACCTACAAGTATTCAGCTTGGCCTCTGGTATACCTACAAGTATTCTGGTATATACCTACAAGTGTTCAGCTTGGTCTCTGGTATACCTACAAGTATTCTGGTATATACCTACAAGTATTCAGCTTGGTCTCTGGTATACCTACAAGTATTCTGGGATACCTACAAGTGTTCAGCTTGGCCTCTGGTACACCTACAAGTATTCTGGTATATACCTACAAGTGTTCAGCTTGGTCTCTGGTATACCTACAGATATTCAGCTTGACGTCTGGTATACTTACAAGAACACAGTTTGCCTCGTGGTTTAATTACAAATACTCAGCTTGGCCACTCGTATGCTTAGTAATATTCAGCTGGGTCAACTTTGCCTCTAGTATAGCTACGAGGAATCATCTTGGTCTCTGGTATACATACAATTACTTAACTTGGCCTCTGGTATACATACAATTACTTAACTTGGCCTCTGGTATACATACAATTGCTTAACTTGGTCTCTGGTATACATACAATTACTTAACTTGGCCTCTGGTATACATACAATTACTTAACTAGGCCTCTGGTATACATACAATTGCTTAACTTGGCCTCTGGTATACTTATAAATCGTCAGCTTGGCCTCTTGTATACTTGCAAATCCTCAGCTTGGTCTCTGGTATACATATACGTACTCAACTCTGCCTCTGGTATACACCTAAATAAATTCAATATTTATTTAGCTTATCTGTACGAGGGGGTCACCTTGGGAGTAGCCGCCCAACAGGAAACCGGAGCCCATGAGCTGCAGGAGGACGCTGAAAGTCCTCATCTCGCTGGTGGTGGTGTTGAAGCAGTGGTGTGTCTCGAACCTCCGTCTCTTATATAACCCACCAGTGCCACTCACCCCTGTGACCCTTGTACCCTCCAGCGCCTTCCCTATCACCTATTTCCTCTCTTCCTCAAACCAGTATAAAAATTGGAATAAATGGAGACACAGGAAAGAGAGGGGGGGGGGGTAGATAAGACAACTTTGATTATCAGGAAATCCACCTCGTATTAAAGAGGTCACCTCGTATTAAAGAGGTCAGTCTCGTATTAAAGAGGTCAGTCTCGTATTAAAGAGGTCAGTCTCGTATTAAAGAGGTCAGTCTCGTATTAAAGAGGTCAGTCTCGTATTAAAGAGGTCAGTCTCGTATTAAAGAGGTCAGTCTCGTATTAAAGAGGTCAGTCTCGTATTGCACAGGGGAAACTTGAGTAACTAGAAAGGGCTGCTGACAGAGTACAGTACAGAGGAGAACCACAGCTTATATGCAAGACAGAGGAAGAAATACACGGGAACTCAGAGAGAAGCGGGATAAGAATGATATAGCAGCTTAGACCAAGAATCAGCTTAAACTACTTTGTAGCCACATGATGAGAAAGATGTTGGTAAATAGACAAGTGATCAGGCTACGCAAAATATGACAAAGAAGTGTGTGAAGAACCCAATAAAAGCATCCAGGAAGTTTTTATGATCGAACTAGAACTACTAGAAGTCGTAGGTCTGTATCCCCAGATCTACGGCTTCTGAAGGAACAAATGCTGCTAGCAGAAAGACTGGCGAAATACAAGTGACACCAGAGGAACTAAAGTAACAATTAGAGGCACTGGATATGATGAAAGCCTCAGGCCCTGACAAGATCCCATCATGGAGCCTAACAGAGGCAGTTGCAGCATTGTGTGTACATTGTAGCTTTGTGCTATAGTCTTCAAATCCCCAGTAGAAATGGGGGAACTGCCTGACATTTGGAAAGTGGCTAATGTTGTACCTATATACAAGAAATAAGGAAGACAGGAACCACTGATATTCAGACTGGAATCATTAATAAGTATTCCCTGTAAGATATTAAAGAGACTAATCCAAAGAAGGCGCGTCGATCATTTAAAATATATACATTTTTGCTTCCAAGCATCAACACGGATTCAAGAAAGGAAAAATCTTGCTTGACCAGCTTATTAGACTTCCATGACAAGATGACAACAATCAGACACGATAGAGAGGGCTGGGAAGACTGCATTTTCCTGGATTGCAAGAAATCCTTTGAAACTGTTTCTCATAAGACAATCCCATGCAAATTGCAAAAACAGGCTGGTGTATCGGGAAAATTGTAAAGTGGGTGAATGAGTACCTGTCAGGAAGAAGGCAAAGAGTCATAGTAAGAGGAGAGTTATCAGAATGGAGAACGGTTATGAGTGAAGTACCACAAGGGTGGGTTCTAGGACCCATTATGTTCCAAATATATGTACGTGATCTAACAGAAGAAGTAAGCTCATGCATGTCCATGTTTGCTGACGATGCTAAGGTAATGAGTCGAATAAGAAAGAGGAGGACTGCAAACAATTACTAGATGACTTAGACAATCTCTAGAGGTGGTCTGAGAGACCGGTACCAGACTTTAACCCTGATAAATGCAAGGTAATGAGGATAGGAGAAAAAGCAAGAATACCTCAAATGCAGCACAGGATGAACGGAAGGCAACTTCCAACTTCTAAAAAAATAGAAAAAGATTTAGCAATGGCCATAACTCAGGATCTGGAGACGCATAACACCAGAAGCACACACACACATCACCGGAATAACAGTATATGCCATACTGGTAATGCAGGCGATGAGTAACAATAACGTGGCTAAAGTATGTTGACCAGACCACACACACTAGAAGGTGAAGGGACGACGACGTTTCGGTCCGTCCTGGACCATTCTCAGTCGACTTGAGAATGGTTCAGGACGGACCGAAACGTCGTCGTCCCTTCACCTTCTAGTGTGTGGTCTGGTTACCATACTGGTAATCCTTCAGGGACATAGACAAACATCTCTTTCGAGTGCTGTATATATATATATATCTTTTGTGAGACCCATTATTGAGAAAGCTGCCCCTACATGACACTCCTACCTAAATAAATAAACACGAAACAGAACTAGACAAGGTTAAAAAGTATACAAGAAGGCTCATCCTGAGCTAAGGATACTACGCTATGAAGAAAGAGTGAGGGACTGCCCGCCAAACACACACCGAAACTACGACGTTGGTACAACGTTCGAACACGTTTTAACACCTCCTAACCAGTTATAACAACCAATATAGCAAGTTGTAACAACGTTCTAATACGTCATAAACACGTTAAGCCAAGATATAACAACTTTATTACAAGTTGTAACAAGCGGAAAATAGAGACAGTTTCGGTTTGTGTTTCCAGGGATGCACATCATTACAATACAGGAAAGATTAAGAGTCTTAAATAAGTGGAACGGAGTAAAAGAAGAAGCTCTCGATACCATTTGGATACATAGTTTTTAAGTGTAAACATAATAAGAAAATCGAGTGGATTGAATCACTGGACTGAACTAATGATGGTCGTAAGGTGGGCTTAGGAGCAGATGTTCGACTCTGAAAGCACAACAAGGTGAGCACATACAAATACAAACCATTTGTACCGAGGTTAGATCAGCTCTTAAATGATAGAACCTTTATCTCTAGATGCATATAAGGAAACTTAAAAAAAAATGATATTCGTAACGAGACTCGTCACAAAGTTGTACAGAATGCTACCTACCTTGAGGCTACCTTGAGGTGCTTCCGGGGCTTAGTGTCCCCGCGGCCCGGTCGTCGACCAGGCCTCCTGGTTGCTGGACTGTTCTCATGCTGGATGAGAACATGTTGAGAGAACGAGACCTGACAACGTGACTGACGAGGAGAAATGAGAGTGAGAAAAAGGGAAAGAGAGAGAGAAAGATAATTATGAAGTGGGTGTGAGACAGTCAGCATCTGCCCCCCCCCCCCCCCCTCTGTATCAGACTGTCTATACATATGGCTTGAACACGTTCCCAAAACGTGTCATCCTAGGAATGAACGTTCGCTGAAAGGCTCATGTTCTTGAAAATAACACAACCAGTATGAGGCTGACAATTACTGAGCGTCTTGTGTTGTGGCCACCACCTTCTGGTAGTCTAAGTCTCTAAGAAGTTGAGCCAGGTGAAGAACTTTGATAACTTTGGCCTTATACATAATAGTAAGCCAACATGTCTCCTGTGTTGAAGGTTATAATGTTACGATCATTCAGCCACACTGAGTTAACATTAGAGATGAAATGTAACACGTAGCTAATATAATTTTTAGAATACAAGTTCAAAACTCCTGTGAAACTTAGTATACTTTCTTTAAATTAAAATTTACATGACTTAAAATGAATGGGTATCAACGAACACAGATGATGGTACGCTACCCCAGTAATGTATAGTTTCCGAGTAACGTATAAAGTATAGCGCTGATGAAATAATGCAACCTAACTCCATATCTCTCCCTCCTTTTATTCCCTTACTCCCTCTTTCCCCCCCTAATATTACCAGCATATTAAGTTAATTACACCAGCAAATTCTCATTACAATAGACTGCTCATTACATCCAAAATCACACATTATACCGGCTTGTAGCTTCATCAGATTGTATCCATTTCATCAGGCTTTCCACATTGCGTTAGTCCTTACTCATTACGCTGTCACACCAGGTGTTCATAGATAGCAACTGCAAGCAATTGCGACACCCCTCATACGGCTACGACTCATGACCGTTACTTCCCACATCAGAAAGCAACTCTCATGGTAGTTAGTACACTTAGGTCGGCCTCGCCATCCTGGGTCTAATAGCTCAATTGCTGCAAGTAGTCTCGAATTGTTGATAGCTTACACGAAACAGGAACAAGTTATTGGTCATCTTTATTAGTTTTCGTTGAAGTAAATGTATTAAACATAATTTATTGGTTATGAGGAGACACTGTAATACGTGTCTAATTGAGAGTTTACATTAGCGTGTTTACACACTGAACCATTTCCAAATTGGGTGTACTGAAACGCACGCATATCACGACACATTTCACCTTGTGTCCAATTAAATAAATGACACGTGTACGCTAGTTAACATATCCACCACACGCACACACACACACACACACACACACACACACACACACACACACACACACACACACACACACACACACACACACACACACACACACACACACACACACACACACACACACACACACACACACACACACACACACCAGAACCTTGTGTACCTCATATGTCAGGACATTACTGAAGTATGCGGCTCCAGTGTGGAGTGCATATCTCGTTAAACACAAAACGTAGTTAGAAAAGATTCAGAGGTATGCCAGCAGGATAGTTCCCGAGCTGAGGGATATAAGCTACGAGGAAAGATTACTGGAACTGAACCTCATGACACTGGAAAACAGAATGGTTAGGGAAGACATGATCACTACCTATACAATTTTCAGAGGAATTGACAGAGTAGATAAAGATAAACTGTTTAGCACTGGTGAGACGCAAACAAGGGGACACAGGTGGAACTTTAGTACCCAAAAGAGCCACATGGACGTCAGAAAGAACTTTTTCAGTGTCAGAGTAGTTAACGGATGGAATGCATTAGGCAGTGATGTGGTGAAGGCTGACTCCATACACAGTTTCAAATGTAGATATGATTCCTTAGCCCAGTAAGCTAAGGAATCTGCACACCAGTTGATTGATAGTTGAGAGGCGGGATCAAAGAGCCGAAACTCAACCCCCGCAAGCACAACTAGAAGTACACACACACGCACTCTCTCTCTCTCTCTCTCTCTCTCTCTCTCTCTCTCTCTCTCTCTCTCTCTCTCTCTCTCTCTCCCGTGTGGAGTTCACATCAAGTCAAATACAAAACGAAGTTAAAGAAAGTTCAGAGGTAAGCTACAAGACTAGTCCCCGAGCTGAGGGGTTTGAGTTACAAGGAAAGGCTCCTGGACTTAAACCTCACGTCACTGGAAGACAGAAGAGTTAGGGTAGACATGATCACCACCCCTGCAAGCTTTTCAGATGACTTGACAGGGTAAAGATAATCTATTTAGCATGGATGATACACAACAATGGACACTGATGTAAAATCAGTACCCAAAAAAGCCACAGACACATTTGAAAGAATTTTTTTAGCAACAGAGTACTTAATAAATGGAATGAAATGATGTGTTGGAGGAAAGACTTCATACACAGTTTCAAATCTAGATATGATAGAGCCCAGTAGGCTCAGGAACCTGTATGTTAGTTGATTGACAGTTGAGAGGTGGGACCAAAGAGCCGAAGCTCAACTCCCGCAAGAAGAACTTGGTGAGTACTCCACCACCTCTCTAATGGAGATAAGTGGATAATGGAGATTTTAATAACCGTTTCTCATTGGCTTGAACTGGACACCTGTCAGGCTTATCGAGTAACCCAAGATGTGAACCACAAGTTTCTTTCCTCCAAGTATTGCTGGGTGAACAGAGGCATCAGTTGTAAATAAACATCTCGCCATGCCTGGGAATCGAACCTGGAACAAGATGGTGGGATAGTGATGCAAGAAACAAATGCTTTGGGTTGGAAGGGGAGAGAGGATAGGTCTCCCCCAATTCCCCCCAATACTCTTTCCTGACCCACGACCTTCACTGGCCATGGGTCAGTGAAGGTCATGGGTCAGGAAATACTATACCCTCCAATGCATCTTCTTCCCCTCCCATGTCTCTCCTCTTCCCTGTCTGTCTTCTCCTATGTCTCTCCCCTCCCACTTTCCTTGCTGTAAGCCTGAGTTCTACACCGCTTTCGTGGCGTGTCTAATCTGTGAAAGTGCACTGCAAGTCAAGCGAGTTACTGGGTCACACAGGTCGCAGATCTCATGGGCAGCTTGTGTCCACCTCCGAATATTGGAGGTAGAATATTTATTTACATGAATTAAGAAATATTCTACCATAAAACGTGGATTTTATTTTGTTTTATAAAGTCGCTCAAGGTTAGGGAATATCGACCACATCGCCAAAATTCCGCTACTTTGGAGGAATTAAAAGCACCGCACCATTGACGTTTTCTCGGATTAGTAAACATTGACCTGGAGAGTTTAGGTGCGTTGTATATGTTCCTAACTCTTCTGGTTAGGCAAAATCACTTCAAATTTGACGCTGTTCGTAACGAGCCACTTTCCTGGCAAGGGACGCGTTACCATTGGGTGGATCGGGATCAACCCCATTGTACGGGGATCGACCCCCCATGAAATTGATAGACATGAGAGATGGCTAGTCGAGGCCTTAGAATTTGACATTGGTTGATGACACGTGAGATCAGGAATAAGATGGAGAGGAATTGAGAAGGGCGAGAATGAACTGAAATTAGGTAGAGTATGTCAAGACAAGCTTGACAACAATTTGAAGAGGAATTAGAAAGGGTGGAGTTTTTTATTACAGTGAAGGGGCAGAGACTAGCCAGCCATTGTCATCGTACCACGGAAGGAGGAGAATCAGTAAGCAGACGGACCTGGAAGCCTACCCATACACACCTGGCACAGGAGACACGAAGGTATTACCCTACCCATACACACCTGGCACAGGAGACACGAAGGTATTACCCTACCCATACACACCTGGCACAGGAGACACGAAGGTATTACCCTACCCATACACACCTGGCACAGGAGACACGAAGGTATTACCCTATCCATACACACCTGGCACAGGAGACACGAAGGTATAACCCTACCGATGCTTACCTTACACAACAACATGAATCTTGAAGCATCAGAAGACATGCAAAAATATTGAGTACATGCAGAAACCGATGGTCCAAGTGGTTGGGGACCGTTCCTTCACCATGTCCTTTCGTCCTAGCTTCCATCAAGTTCTCATATTCCTATCATGTGTTATTGTAGCATATGAGAAGAATATGATGCAATAGCACATTTCTCGCTAACTATAGAGGATCCCGGGTCTGATCTCCAGACGGGGGAGAGACTGTTGGGTATCATTTCCTTTCACCTGATGCCTATGCTCTCTTAGCAGTAAGTAGGCACCCGGGAGTTAGACAACTGTTTTGGGGTGCTATCTTGAGGAAGGGCTGTAAATGGCCTAGGAGGACCTCGATAAACCCAATAGGTTTCTAAGGAAATATATAGCCCTTTTGCCTTGACTTCGTTTCCTGATAATTGTCATAAATTACCACCCAGAATGGAAAGACTATATTGCGGATACTGTGGGTTGAGTGCCTCATAACACGACACAGATCGTGTGTTGCGTGTTTTGACTCCAGTAGTGTCAAGAGGCAAACACTACTTCTCAGTCTGCAACTGAAACACTGAGTGAACTGCTGCACTTAACACTATAAGCAAATGACAGCGACATTCTGTCAATCAAAAGAAGTAACGCTAATCAGCTCAACCCCTCGCTCTTAAAGTCATTGACTCAGAAAGTCTTTGGAACACCAAGAGATAATTATTAACTGGATAAACTTCAAATTTCAAAAATTAGTAATTCATCGCTAATCATCCTCTGAAAATTATGAGTAGCATTATCTAAGATTATTATTGCATAGAATCATGGAGATTGCCGTTTCAAATAACATAAATATGCTCTAAAATTTGTCTAGTGCACGGATAATTTATTTTCAACTAATATATAAATGTGATTAGTTTGAATATTTTCTATACATCTTTATCAATAAAATCTGACATTGAGACCTGTATCGGCGAAGAGATGTGTGACGTGCCAATCTCTGATTGGTGGTGTCTAGTGGCAAGGCAATAGTTGACCAATCAGCTCGCAGCACAGATATAAAGGCGGGGCTTACACGCCCCTCGGGTCACGGAACTCACGCCTGGCGGAAGATAGCCGATGGGGGCCAAGTTGAACACTGACTCTTGCTTACTACAGCCGAACGTGAGTCAAAGTGTACATGAGACAATGCTGTGTGGGGAGGGAAGGTGATAACAGAATGCAGTGGGTGGAGGGAAGGTGATAACAGACTGTGGTGTGGGGAGGGAAGGTGATAACAGAATGCGGTGTTGTCCTGAGGGGCCCCTGGAGCCGTGACCGCTTGGCCTGGAGTTTTCCCAGAATGCTTCCTACCAGGATGTGCAAGTGGTGCTACTCGACATGTTACATGTTCCTGTGGAGGCTGTGTGTGGTATGCAGCTGCTTGCTGGGAGGCGGGCGATTGTAAAGTTCGGCTCCTCAGTTATTTACCGTGATCTCGTAGCGTGCTATGATGGGCGCTCTTTCACTCTTCCTGGTGATGGTGGATCAATGACTTTCTCCGATAGCTGAGTTACGACGACGTATGTGGCGGTGCATGGGTCACCCTTCGAGTTCCCTGAGGACCTTCTACATCGAGGACCGAGGACCGGGCCGCGGGGACACTAAAGCCCCGAAATCATCTCAAGATAACCTCAAGATACATAGGTACTTTGCCCGTTTTGTGCGGGTCCTTCATTCGAGGGTGAATGCCGTCCTTACTGGGAGGTGGAAGGGGGTCCCGTGTGGGATCCGCATTCTCGCCATGCACCTCAAGGATCCTATACCGTCATCCATCATGCTGTTTGGGTTCCCTATTCGTATATTTCACGCGGACCAGCCCCGCCCATGTTTCAGGTGCGACTTACTGGGCCACCGGGGTGTGAGGAGCACCGAGTCACTCCTATTAACCTCTTCCGGGAGAAGGATTTTTCCCCGCTGTCGGCCCCCCGGACCTGTCTCCAAGTGCTGGGATGTGTGTTGCTTCCCTGCCGGTTGATGCCTCAGTGTTGGAGCCTGGGTGCGGATGTGGGTGGTGGTGTAGGTGTTGACTTAGGGGTTGGGGTGGCCCTGCCCTTGACGCCCCAGCCGGCCCTGCCTGTTCCATCCCTGGATACGGTGTCTCTTGTCACTCTGGATGTCCGCGAGGGGCTGTCTCCTGCAGTGTGGGGTCCGGTGCCCCTGTTTGTGGGCGCTGTGGTTCTCAGGGGCCATGCTTTGAAGGCGCGCTCGTCGGAGAGTTCTGTTGTGATGCAGGATGATGGGGGTGATAGCTCGGATGACCGGCAGCCTGTCTCCAAGCCCTCGAGTTGGGTTCTGAGTGTGTCTACCTTTCGTGGTGTGCACTGGGTGGAGGTGAGGGAGTATGGTGCTCCGGCGTCTGCCGCCGTGGTTGACAGTGCTGTGAGGGACTCTGTGCTGCCTTCTGTGTCGCCCGCTGCGCCTCCTGCTATTGGCTCCCCACAGGGGGAGGTTGCCCCTGACGATCGGGACCTCGTCATGGTGCTCAGGAAGGATGTGGGCAAGGGGGCCCTGGCGCACCTGCATCCTCTGCTGGTACCCCCAGTGCGAAGCCCAGTGTGAAACCCAGTGCGAAACCCAGTGCAAGACCCCCTAGTGCGGAACCCGTCTCTGTGGTCACGGCCTCCGGGGACGTGGTCCGATGGACTCAGTCGTTGGAACTCACTTGGGATGACCGGGTGCGTCCGATCCCGTGGTGCTCTTCTACTATTTGAGTGCCCAGGTAAAGGGGTTTATTTATGGGGGTGCCGGATTTGATGCTTCAGCCTTGTGCGTCTCCTGGTCGACCGGTGCCCGATGACATTATGCTGATTTGGGAGGCTTACTGCTTACGGTTTCCGGGGCTGGAGTTCCCGGATGAATATGCATAGTGCTTGATTTGTGTACGCCCTGTATTTTTGTATTTGTTGCCTTGTCTGCTATATGTGTGTCTTGTATCCATGTTTTTGGCTCGCCCCGTTTGGGGCGTTGTGTTTTGTTTGACTGTACTGTGTTTTGTTTCTTATGTGTGTGTTTTTTATGTTATGTTTCCTGTGTTGTGTTCTTGAGCTGTTGGGGTGTGTGTTTTGTATTTCTTTTGCAGGTTCCTGCGTGTTCCGGTGTTTGTTCTTGTTTGTATGTGTGAGCGTCATTTCATTATGTTCTTCCCGGTTCCTGTGTGTTCCGGTCATGCATTACTGTCTGTATTGACTTTTTGTCTATTACATGTGGCCCTTCTGGCTGGATTTATCCCTCATGCTTTATAGTGTTCTTTTACCATCTTTTCTTTGCCGCGGGCTAGTTCTGTGTACATATATATAATTTGTGTGTATCTTTGTTTTTCCTGTGTTATTTCAGTGTTTCCTGTTTTGTGCTTGTTTGTGTTTCTTTTTTCTGTTGTTCTCATGTTCTTGCCTTTATGCTTTCAACGGATCACTGTTTGTCATGTTTTTGTTTGAATATTTTTATTGTATTTATTGTGCTTTATAAATACAAAGACAAAAATGTGGTGTGGGGAGGGAAGGTGAGCGTTCGTAAAGACAGTGAAAACTAAAATTAAAAATCCAGCTGGAAAATTCTTCCGAAAAAATAGAGGTGGGGATCTTTAATAAGCCGCTAGCTTCCTGCCCCCTTCGAGGCCACTAGAGAAATGATGGCCCCTTAGGTAAATTTATGAGGAAAAGCAGTTTTTTTTATTATTATTATTTTCTACCACAGACGTGCCCTCACATTTACAATGCTAACCAGCATATATACATTTTCTTTTGTCCTCCATGGACAGGGTGAGAGATTTGTCAAACATACAGTTTAGGGATTTATTGAACAATCAACCACAGAAGGTGATTGTAGTGCTTTTAAAATGTTAGGCTAAGCTATATACGTAAATACGTAGATACACAGATTTATGTATGCTACATAAAGTGTTCGATGTGTCTTTTACATAGTGTCATTAATGTGCATTTACAAAGGCGAAACGTAACTCTGATCAGCTTCCACATATACTTTATACACATACATACACACACACATACATTTGTCTCTTTTACTCTGACAGGATGAGATAGCTGATAGAGAAACTAGTGTGCAATTAAGCACTTAACCACTGAAGGTGATTAAGATGCTTTTACAAGCTCAGGTTATATAGTTACATCGCATACATACATTGTATAATTGATACATTACATGGTCAATCTAGGGTACAAGTCCAATATATCATCAAGTGTTCCAGTACTCATATAGTAATTACACAGTTCAGTATACCTCAGCCCAGGAGGGCGAAAGTCAGTCAATATGGGACATTCTACAATATAATGTTCAAGTGAGTGAATGTTTTCTCTTTCACAAAGTTGACACATTGTGTACTCGACATTTGGGGGTTTGAGAAAGCTGCCAGATACGTCTATATTCCAGGTGTATTCTGGCAACTATAATATCACACATTGCCGAGTTCTTACTCTATTAGTCCCATATGTGAATGTCTCCTCACGATATCTATCATAATATTTAATGCTACAACTTTCAGGTCTTTGTGAATTTGTTAGGTCGGTGAGATTTTCATTAGACATTTGTTTAAGTATTCTCTTTGTCACTGCTAATGAAACACCCATATCAATTTCTACCACTAGTTTTCTACAGGCTGTCTTTGCAAGCATATCAACAGTGTCATGCCTTGAGATGCCAACATGTGATGGCATCCATAGGAATTTAATTTCAAATCTGCGTAGGGAAAGTGTCCGCCATGTACCAGACGAAGAGGAAAAGGGCAGACATGAGCAAGCATATCAGAGAGAGGTCAAGAGGAGTATAACATGGCTTATCTCTTGTAGCTGCAACAAGATTGCAGGTGATGCACGATGCGACTCTGCTGGCGGAGCATTGATTTACGACTGCATTGAGTGAAGTGGTCGTACCCGGAATCCAGCACAGCTGTCGCTTCCAGACAGTGGCTGTATGGATAGCACGCTGGACACGCAATCCTGTGGCCCGGATTCGATTCCCGGAGCCGGCGAGAAACAAAAATGGGCCGTTTCTTTCTCCCTGTTGTCCCTGTTACCTAGCAGTAAATAGGTACCTGGCAGTTAGACAGCTGTTACGGGCTGCTTCCTGGGTGTGTGTGGAAAAAAATAGTAACAGTTGATTGATTGACAGTTGAGAGGCGCGCCGAAAGAGCAGAGCTCAACCCCCGCAAGCACAACTAGGTGAATACAGTTGTCGCTGTGCAGACTGGACTGTTAACGAGAACATGCCGTTCTCGCAAATTCGTAAAGTCAATATTGACTTATTAACTACGTGTATAGGTGATATACTAAACATAATAGATACCCCTAAAAAGATTCATAGAAAACACCGACCTTACCTAATCTTGTTAGTATCTTAAGATAAGCATCTTATTGCTTCGTAATTACAATTATTACTTAACCTAAACCTATTATAGGTTAGGTAATAATTGTAATTACGAAGCAATAGGATGCTTATCTTAAGATACTAACAAGGTTAGGTAAGGTCGGTGTTTTCTATGAATCGTTTTAAGGGTATCTATTATGTTAAATATGTCACCTATGCACATATTTAATAAGTCAATATTGACTTATTAAATTTGCGAGAACGGGTTGCATGCCATGTCAGAAGAGACGTGTCATCAACACCTGCTGTGCTTGGGACGGACGTTCAGACTTCAGCGAGACGGTATTGTACAAGTGAGATAAGGATACTAATCCTAGACTGGAATGTAAGAGAAAAAATGGTGCATGACGTGAGCAAGGAGTAGGAGCTGCAGATTTTGGTTCTTGGTATACAAGGACGCTGGTGGTCTAGCCAAGTGTCGGCCAGTCGTCAAAGATTGTCTAGATTGCAGGCGATGAATCACAATAACGTGGCTAAAGTAAGTTGACAATCGACTTGAGAATGGTCCAGGACGGACCGAAACGTCGTCGTCCCTTCACTTTCTAGTGTGTGGTCTGGTCAAATTGTCTAGATTGTTGGTCTAGCGAAGATTTCAGAAAGTGTGAACCACTTCCTAAAGTGGCTCACACTTCAGGAAGTGATTGCAGGGTGTTCAATCTCCGATGGTCCATGCGGTTGGGCATCATTCCTTCTCTCCACTTACCTATCTGTTCTCCCTTTCCTTTTCATATACTTCATAGTCATATTGACTTGGCACATTTTACTCATTATTTCCTTTACTCTCTGCAACGTAATATAAAAGTTTTCTGGAGAATTAGGATCATTTGTTAGGTACTATCGTGAGTGTTAATTGCTGACTTGGCCTGTTATTGTGTGGCATAATAATTAAGTTCTTCATGAGCCTAGCATAGCTTAATTATAGTAGCAACTAATTTCCAAGGTAATTACAATTTAATTTTCAGCTAGCTGGGTATAGTTGTGTTACATTAGTCTTACGATAAACAGACTCTCTTCTGGTGATGTCCAGCTGACGAAGTCTACGAGTGGACAGGTTATGTGTATAATGTTATCAAGAAAACATTATAGCAGCGACTGGTAAGGTTGTTAGTACTAGGCTTCTGAGCATTAAATGAAAAATGCCATTTTAGTGATTACAGCTCAGTGCTATGCAATACCATAAGACTACGTAGAACACAAACAAACACATTACAGTGTCTTAAAGATATAACTCCACAAATTGCATTAGGGTATAATTTAAAAGAAAAAGTGTGTCCAAAACAAAACAAAAATTGAAATTGCTAATTAGAGAAACGTATATGAATGTTGATGCCAATTAACTATTTGTGTCATATCAAATTATTAGGATATAAATTGTTTCATACTAACAGACAAATCAGATGATGAAAGTCGCTATAGTGTCAGATAAAATTAGTATTGCAGTATGAAACAGGATATCAAATCAAAAGCACGCATATAAACAATTGGAAAATAACCCGAGATATGCTAATAATAATGGCTATCAACCAGGTCAAAGGAAGGGAGACATATTTGGGAACAAAACTCTTAAGATACAAAATCATATATAATGACATAAATTTTATTAAACTGTAGGTGAAAAATCAACCAATATTTTCCGGGTCAGAAGTGAATTTGGAAGCAGTTGAATATTACTTTCTCAAACAATATATTATCGAGCCATAGAAATTGTTACAATATATCAAGTGTTAGCCAACAATGAGAACAATAATAGCATTAAAATATGGAGAGACTGAATAGTTGGAATAAAATTATCGTCTAGTTACTTAAAAGGGAAATTACCTTAAGCAAAAATATCAAATGTTGTTCGTTATGCATCGTATGTATTGAGTATCGTGTGTACGTATAGCATCGTATGTATTGAGTATCGTGTGTACGTATAGCATCGTATGTATTGAGTATCGTGTGTACGTATAGCATCGTATGTATTGAGTATCGTGTGTACGTATAGCATCGTGTGTATGTATAACATTCGGTGTACGTAGAGGAATATTTATACATAGAACATTGCGTGCACGTGTAGTGTTGTGTATGTAGCGTCCGTTCATACGAGAGTTGGTAACCCTGTGCGAATATTATTTAATACTGGCGATTTTTTGTTAATTCTAATTCAATAATTTAATTTTCATCCGCTTGTCTGGTCTCCATGAACACTGAAATCAGACATTTAAGTCTTTGTTCAACCCAACTTCAAGCTTTTAACTGTTCAGACTCGGTGGATTGTTTTTAGTTGACAGTCTTCTTGATAGCAAGATATTACAAATGATTTCATTTCCTTCGCTAGATGAAATAAGGATTCGAAGGACGCAGAGAGCAAAAACATCAGCGGAGGAACGAGACGGTAGAACCAGGAGAAAGTCTGTGAAGAATGTTTGGTCATGAGAATGTCCTGTGGTGCGTCCTGCTCTCCTGGGTGGGTCTGGGACTCTCAGCTCTAATCACTACTCAGGGACACTTTGGCGTCACCGACAAGAACTACGATAACTTTGCTGTGGGGTATCCAGGCTCAAATTATCGGTCAACCCTAAGTAGTATATATCTTCCTGCAGGTGAGATCATCGTGTGTCTTCACCTTCGAAGTAATGCTATGCCACAAGAATATTCTAAGACTTAAATGTTTAAGTAAAGACCTTTTCCGGGTTTGTAAAAGATTTAATTCTCTTAAAATACTGCATTTGGTGTTATGAAAATATTTTCTTATATATTTCTCCGTTTGTATATGTGATTGTGGATACTTATACATATTTAGCGCCTTGTATAACACTGTTTTTTTTTACTGTGTTATTAACGTACTTCTCTCTCTGTAGGGATGAGCGAACAGCAGGCTCTGCTGTGGTGTCTTTACAAGTGCGTCGAGACCCCTTACTGCCACTCCTTCGTCGTCGACAAAGGCCTCACCTACTGCTCATTGACCGGTTATGACACTTGTGTTGATCATTCCAGTCAGCTGTACGGGGTGCCAGGCGTGCGGACGTACGACGTTAGGATAGGAAGCTTGCCAAAGCCCATCCGGACCTGCTACAGCTCTTGTACCGGCTCGTGCGCCTACTGCGGAAGGATGAACTGCAAGGGCGTGAATTGCGACACCTGTGCGCACTTCTGCTGGGACCCCCAAGTTTACAACATCACAGATTCAGTTCTTCTTTGGCCAGACCTCGCGCTGTACATGTCAATTTTTTACAGTTGCGACAAAGGCTGGCAGAATATTTGGGAATACAATGAAGTCAGTCATGTGGCCACGTCATATGCGTATCCTCTGTTGTTTACCGGGCCAACGACTCTCCGCCTGGCTGTGATTTACAATTACACCACCATTCTCTACTCCTACTTCAACAACTTCACCTTCGCCGGAAACATGATCTCCGTCGGGTCCTACCTCGGGGGCAAGGCGGGAAACTACTGGAAGGCGCCCTTTGAGAACCAGTCCTTGATTTTCAACGCCAGCTGTCCGTTCTTCTACCCGGCATCCAATATCAACTGTAACCTGACAGCCGTGAGCAACTCCAGCATTACATGGCTGTCAGGGTTCTCTGCTTTTGACGCCAATGTCACCGCCACCAATATTAACGTAACCAAGGTTCAGTTCTGGGTCATTCCGAAGGGCATGGAGTGGCTCAAACTGGGATATTAATTAGTCATTAACGTTATCGGAACCCTCATGATCAAGACCGACGATGTTGACCGTCCCATGATGACAAAATCGGCCTGGACAATAGACCACACATCCGCAATAAATACGAAAAAAACTACAAATAAGGCCATTTTGACGGATGCGATGCAGTAACTGAAGAAACACTACTTCTAAAGTTGCTGTGAACGCATTATAGAATGATGCATGAAATTACAAAGCCATGAACGCAACTGGGAACGGCAAATCATGGAATGAAGAAAATCATTCCGTCTGCAATGTTGCTCAAACATCTCTCTCTCTCTCTCTCTCTCTCTCTCTCTCTCTCTCTCTCTCTCTCTCTCTCTCTCTCTCTCTCTCTCTCTCTCTCTCTCTCTCTCTCTCTCTCTCTCTCTCTCTCTCTCTCTCTCTCTCTCTCTCTCTCTCTCTCTCTCTCTCTCTCTCTCTCTCTCTCTCTCTCTCTCTCTCTCTCTCTCTCTCTCTCTCTCTCTCTCTCTCTCTCTCTCTCTCTCTCTCTCTCTCTCTCTCTCTCTCTCTCTCTCTCTCTCTCTCTCTCTCATATCATTTACTACAATATTGCCTATTTAAGTATAACTGCATTACTGTATTATTAACTAAGCATTACTGTATTATTGCATATTTAAGCATAATTGTGTAATGTATTATTGCCTGTTTAAGCATAACTGCATTATTGCCTATTTAATCAGGCATAATTACATTACTGTATCATTGCTAATTTAAACATAACTACATTAATATATTATTGCTAATTTAAACATAACTGCCTTACTACAGTATTGCCAATTTAAGCATAACTGCATTACTACAGTATTGCCTATCTAAACATGATATACTTTTTTTGATGTATAAATTTAGGAATAACTTACTGCATCACTGCTACTACTACAAATCTATGAAACTGCTTTACTGTATTATAGCTACTGCTTTACTGTATTATAGACACTGCTTTACTGTATTATAGACACTGCTTTACTGTATTATAGACACTGCTTTACTGTATTATAGACACTGCTTTACTGTATTATAGACACTGCTTTACTGTATTACAGACACTGCTTTACTGTATTATAGACACTGCTTTACTGTATTATAGACACTGCTTTACTGTATTATAGACACTGCTTTACTGTATTATAGACACTGCTTTACTGTACTACAGACACACCTTTACAGTATTATAGAATTATAGAATTTGCTACTGTATTTCTGTATTATTGAATTCATTTTTATTGTATCACTGCACAATATTATTACTCGCCATAGTATTGCTTCAACATTAGACTTGTGTTGCAAAGTATTAGTGAATCACTGTTTTTTAATATTATTGAATTATTCTGTTTATGTAAATATATCTTAATTTAAATACATATATAATCTTGGTTAAAAGCTGAAAATACTGAACAAAATCAGCACAGGAACATTAAGAAAATTAAAGGTCCTAACAATTTTAGGTCTGGATTGTGCTTATTCAAAAAATCCTTCAATGTACAGGCCAGGAGTCACAATAACGTGGCTGAAAAATGTTGACCAAACCACACACTAGAAAGTGAAGGGACGACGACGTTTCGGTCCGACCTGGACCATTCTCAAGTCGATTCTCACAATCGACTTGATAATGGTTCAGGACGGACCGAAACGTCGTCGTCTCTTCACTTTCTAGTATGTGGTTTGGTCAATACCTTCAATGTACTTTTTTCATTGAGCTAATTAGATTAAAATGTAAACAAAACAAACTAACTACCATACAGTGTATTATAACAAGAAGTTAACTTTGGCAATGATGTCAGATGGTCAGCACCCGCACGCAGGCCCAACCAACAGTCTGCGGACTTTAGGGACTGCGGACTGCGGACTTTAGGGACTGCGGACTGCGGACTTAGTCCACGAGACTAAGCGCTCACAGATGAGGTCCGCACGCAACAATGAAACCACGAAAACGCTCGCGAGAGTGGTCATTAGCGGAAGGGTTAACTAAAGAAAAAAATTGTGTTGGAAACACTCTCCAGAAGCAATGCACCATACAAGACTGCAAAATTTACTTTCTTGTTACATTATTTATCGTTGCAATGTTTCAGAATAGTGGAGAGCTATACTGCTCTGTATCCAAATAGCACAACGCTCCATTATCTTGTAAGAAAAAAGCAGAGCACCTCACTATCTTGGGCGCAACAGCGCTGCTCCCAAGGAAACTCTCCACATATCCCTCATCCTTACGTTAGGAAAGTCCAAATTATTCAGTCTATTGACTATTTACGTCTTAGAAACACTGCCCCTTTTCCAATGTGGTCCACTATCTAACAATCTGCAGAACACTCGCATTTAGTTATGAATAATATCATCATTACAACTACTTGTGACATCTTAGGACCATGACGATATGCCTTTTCCCCTGAGTACTTTCTATGTGGTAATCATGTCTCCCCTATTTCTTCTATCCTCCAGTGACTCATTCTCTGCATTTACCACGAGTCTCATTCTTCGAAGAAAGACGGAAAAGTCAGACTTCCACAAAGCATGACTGCATATCAACTGAGTATAGACGACTGTGTAAATCTGGACCTTAGATTATGGGACCTTAGATTATGGACCTTAGATTATGGGTGATAACGTAATAGAAGCCCTAGATGACAGGTCAAGTCATGTTATAACTTGGGTAATCAAAATGTTAATAATTGTTCTCCTTTAAACAATAAAGGACTGGGTCTGCACTGACGTTGTAGATCCTGATCAGCGCTGGCAATAACAGGTCAGATTTTACCTTAATTGTTGTCTCTATATGATCTTATTTAACCAAAACAAATTGTGACAAGTCTAAGCAATCGATAAGGATATCCACCTTAAGTACGGGACCCGAGGCATAGGATGTCTCATAGTGATAATATTATCCACCCTAAACACTGTAAGATTAGTAATAAGGTACAGGATATTTCACACTGGTAAGTGTGAAATTTCATGCCACCCTAGGTATAGGATCTCTCACTCCAGTAACCATCACACAAGTTCATTTCTCTGCAACCGATAAAAGATAAAAAATTATTTAGTTTACCATTTAAATTCCGTTTTTTTTTACATATTCTTAATCATAGAAAGTATCTTGCTCTAACTTAAATATATTCTTCAGTGCCGTTCACGCTTCAGAATTGAAGAGGAAGCCAAATAAATTGCCTGCCGGTGGGAAGCACTTCTCTCCTCCAGGTGATTGGCTGCTCCGCTCCTGGGGCAGCGCGCCTCCTTCAGTTAGCTTAGTTCATTTATTATGCACCCCATATCCATCCTTTGGGCGGTAGTGGAAAGGGTTACAGAAACACATAATGGGCTCAGGGACTGAACCCCATAATTCATTTAGCTAAGCAAGTTACAATCTTGATGAGCTAGTTACAAAATTCAATGCACATCGTCACATCAACAATGGGCATGGGATCGACCACAAGTACAGTTTGCAAATTAAGCAACTGACATATGTGGAGAGCTAGTGTCACAATTGATATGTTTGTCCTGCACACCGCCGCCCATCCAGTGGACAGCGGTGGATAGGTTACAATCACTTAGTTACTACCTACAGTTAGCAAACTGGGGATATTTGGCTAAAATTTCTGGTCAGTAAGCTGATCAGTCAACACCCACACGACATTGATACCACATTGATGGATGTGAGAAAAGCTGTTGGGCCAGATGGAATCTCGCCATAGGTATTGAAAGTGTGCAGGAGCACTTTGCCTACCACTCTCCATAGTGTATAGTAGGTCACTGGAAACGGGGGACCTACCAGAAATATGGAAGACTGCTAATGTAGTACCAATATACAAAAAGGGTGACAGACAAGAGGCACTGAACTACAGGCCAGTGTCCTTAACTTGTATACCATGCAAGGTGATGGAGAAGATTGTGAGAAAAAACCTGGTAACACATCTGGAGAGAAGAGACTTCGTGACAACCCATCAACATGGGTTCAGGGAGGGTAAATCTTGCCTTACAGGCTTGATAGAATTCTACGATCAGGTGACAAAGATTAAACAAGAAAGAGAAGGGTGGGCGGACTGCATTTTTTTGGACTGTCGGAAAGCCTTTGACACAGTACCCCATAAAAGGTTGATGCATAAGCTGGAGAAACAGGCAGGAGTAACTGGTAGGGCGCTCCAGTGGATAAGGGAGTACCTAAACAATAGGAAGCAGAGAGTTACAGTGAGAGGTGAGACCTCAGACTGGCGTGAAGTCACCAGTGGAGTCCCACAGGGCTCTGTACTTGGACCTATCCTATTTCTGATATACGTAAATGATCTCCCAGTGGGTATAGACTCATTCCTCTCAATGTTTGCTGACGACGCCAAAATTATGAGAAGGATTAAGACAGTGGAGGACAGCTTGAGGCTTCAAGAAGACCTGGACAAGCTGCAGGAATGGTCGAACAAATGGCTGTTAGAGTTTAACCCAAGCAAATGTAATGTAATGAAGATAGGGGTAGGAAGCAGGAGACAAGATACAAGGTATCATTTGGGAGATGAAATACTTCAAGAGTCAGAGAGAGAAAGACCTGGGGGTTGATATCACGCCAGACCTGTCCCCTGAAGCTCATATCAAGAGGATAACAGCAGCAGCATATGCCAGGTTGGCTAACATAAGAACGGCCTTTAGAAACTTGTGTAAGGAATCTTTCAGATCATTATATACCACATATGTTGGATCAATCCTGGAGTATGCGGCTCCAGCATGGAGTCCATATCTAGTCAAGCATAAGACTAAAATGGAAAAGGTTCAAAGGTTTGCCACCAGACTAGTACCCGAGCTGAGAGGTATGAGCTACGAGGAGAGACTACGGGAATTAAACCTCACTTCGTTGGAAGACAGAAGAGTTAGGGGGGACATGATCACCACGTTCAAGATTCTCAAGGGAATCGACAGGGTTGATAAAGACAGGCTGTTTAACACAAGGAGCACACGCACTAGGGGACACAGGTGGAAACTGAGTGCCCAAATGAGCCACAGAGATATTAGAAAGCACTTTTTCAGTGTCAGTGTGGTTGACAAATGGAATGCATTAGGAAGTGATGTGGTGGAGGCTGACTCCATACACAGTTTCAAGTGTAGATATGATAGAGCCCAATAGGCTCAGGAACCTGTACACCTGTTGATTGACAGTTGAGAGGCGGGACCAAAGAGCCAGAGCTCAACCCCCGCAAGTACAACTAGGTGAGTACATGTTTTATTTTGTTATCTGTTTATATATACAAGACTTCTTACATTCTTGTACAGCCACTAGCACGGATAGCGTTTCGGGCAAGTCCTTAATCATATGTTCCCAGAATACGACCCCACCAAATCGC